AGACCCGCCCCCTGGTGGGCTGAGCTGGCCACACACACACACACACACACACTAAATAAATGTAATAAATAAAAATAAATAAATATTAAAAAAAATTTAGGAGGGGCTCCAGGTCAAAGGGTGGCAGGTGTTCCTGTTTCAGCTAAACTTCAGACGACATGGAGGCACAAATGTGAAGATGTTGGACGAGTCCATTCGGCTTGCTTTTGTGTGTCATGCTTTCAGAAGGACATGCATGTAGTTCTGTGTAGGCTGGTTGCTGACCAGTGCCGCAGCTGTACAGCTCCTTGTGTCTTGGAAGAGTTACCTACCAGGAAAGCTGAATCTACTGAACGGAGTTCTGGTCTCACGTCTCAGGTCACAGTGGTCACATCTGAATGTGGGTCTATATAGTGTGTCACCCATAGCTATAGGCGGGCCTGCTGAAAAAGGTCCCCCAAGCGCAGCAACGTTTTGTGGGACCTGCCCTAAGTGCTGATTAACTACGGGACATTCACTTCCTAAGAACGGCCTAGCAGGTTAGTAGGTGCTGGGAGGGTCTGTGGGTGGGCAGGGTATGCGCCGCAGAGAGGGACGACCCGCCCCAAGGAGGTCGGAACCTGGCCAGAGGCTTCGCTCAGGCAGCGTAGGAAAGGAAAGAAGGAAACCTCTGTCTCTCGCTGAGAAGCCATGTCTTCAGCATTTCCTTTGGATGACGGTCTCCGGTTGTTTTTTGTTTTGGTTTGGTTTTTGTATGAATTTTAGGAGCGGATGTACAGGGTCTTACTCTCTAGATCGGACTCGTATCGATCCTCCTGTTTTCAGCCTCCCAAGTGCTGGGATTACAAGCACGCCACCACGCCCAATCTCAATTGCCCTCTCAGCGAACCCCGGAGGTGGGGCCGGCACAGCAGGCCTGGGGTCAATCTCCAGCTGGTTTCAACCTTCCCATGTGGACTCCCCAGTGACTCCCCAGTGTGCTCTGAGACCTTTGCCCTGTGGCGGCTCTGCCTCCTGCGGGGCTCCAGAGGGCCATTTGGGTTCATCCATTTCTGATCTTGCATCACCCTGCACTTGGACCCTGATTCTGATTCTCAATCTATGCCTACCTAATAAATCGCTCTGCGTCCTTACACTTCTATTTCATCGTGATTCTGTTCCTCTAGGGAGCCCTAGTCAAGAAAGCAATCACCCTCACTAAAGTCCACGCCCGCAGCTGACGTCAGGCCCGCAGCTGACGTCAGGCCCGCAGCTGACGTCAGGCCCGC